TGCCAAGTGTTTTTGACCACGTGACCATGGGGATGCTGTTTTTCTCCATTTCGATCCTCTTTTTCACTCTCCTTTTTGGAGGGGACAGCAAGTTCAGGCTCTGCAATTTTATTGATTTATTTTTAAATTCAAAATATTATCCGTGGCAGGGAAACCCTCTGATTCTGGAAGGGAGCTGTGTGTATGGGGCAGGGAAACAGCTGCAAACAGCTTGGGCAGGCTGGCTGTTAAAAGCCAGCTCCTGCCGTCCTCGCGGTTGAAAGGGGAGGGAATACAGAAACTGGAAGCTTCCCCCTTACTATTATTCGACTTTTTGCGTCAAATTTTCCACTTGCTGGGATTCTGCCTTTTTTCCCTCTAGCACAAGATTTAGGATGGGCCAAAGCGGGGGAGGGAGCTGCTTCCTATGCCTTGAGTTGAGACAGAAAATTTTGCCGTTGTCTGAATTTTCTTTAGCATCCTATCCTAGGCTGGTTAAGGAATAAATAAATTTGGAAAAGCAAACTGGGTCGTTATTTGCGAATGAAGGCAAATATAGGTGTCCCTGGATAATATTGCAGGATCCCCAAATGAGTTGATCACCGGGACGAGAGGTTTATTCTTCTAGGATTTCGGGCTCGTTCTCATTCTCTCTCTCCAGAATTCTCTTTCTCACACAAGTTCCAGAGAGAGAGAGAGAAGTTCTGTGAAGATGGGCTCCGGTACCGGCCCCCAAAACTTGGAAGAGTAAACTTTTGGACCTCATAGCTCAGATCGGGTCCTGGGTCTCTATTTCTCCCCCTTCCTCATCTTTTTGGAAGGATAATGAGAGCCACTGCCCATTTTTAGATCCCAAAGTGTTTCCTGGACATTCTTTCCCACCTACCCAGACCGACAAGCAAAGCTTTAACGTTTTCAGCCCAGGTCACACTGATCTGCGTGGGCTTCCAAGCAGGTAGAAAATACGTGATTGAAATTTCTGATATGCCTAATGCCACACTGGCCGGGGAATTCTGGGACTTGAAGTCTTACACGTCTTAAAATTCACTGGCATGCCGGCTGGAGAATTCTGGGAGTTGAAGTCCACACATTCACTGGCTGGCTATTTCTGGGAGTTGAAGTCCACACATTTTAAAATTCACTGGCACGATGGCTGGGGGATTCTGGGAGTTGAAGTCCACACATTTTAAAATTCACTGGCTATGATGGGCTGGGGGAATTCTGGGAGTTGAAGTCCACACATTTTTTGAAAGGGGCCCAGGTTGAGAAACACTGTCCTAAATGTTGGACTGACAAACCCAGAACATCAGAGAAGCCGGCAAGATAAATAGAAAAAAACTCAGGGGTCAGCCCAGCGTCACCTGTTGTTTGCAAAAAATGTCCCACGCAGTACAATGACTGCTAAACTCTTGAAGAGCTCCAGCTTCAGCATTCCACCATGGGTCAGTCTCTCCCTCCCCCCCGTCCCCCCGCTTGGCAGTCCCTTCTGCAAGTTGCAAGTAGCCGACAAAGCAAACTCAATGGCAGGACAGGCTTTGAACAAAGGTGGAATATTAACCATACAATAATTAACCTGCTTGGCTGTTTTTAAAAGCCGGTCAGGCTTGACAAGGGAACAAGCTTTCAACCTGTCACATGTCAACAGGTGGGGGACAGACATCCATCCCGCCTGCCCTCTGCCCCACTTTCTCAAAAGCACCAGGGATTAATCCAGCAAGGTGCTCTGTTTTCTTTTAAATAATGGCATGAAGTATTATAGTTGCAATAGTAAAAATTAGAGAAGGAAGGAAGGAGGGAGGGAGGGAGGAAGGGAGGAGAAGGGAGGGAAAGAAAGAAAAAGGAAGGAAGGAAGGAAGGAAAGAAGAAAAAAGAAAGATGCAAAGGAGGAAGAAAGGAAGGATATAGTAAAGAAAAACAAATTAACTCCTGACTTTCATCAAAATAAGTGTAAGCAATTTTAGTAATTTTCACCTCTTAAATTGCAACAAATGATCTCTTTTCCCCATATCTTATCTCTTATCTTTAAACAAATCCATAAAATATTATCATTTCAATCCTGGTAAGGATTGTCATCAAGTCCAGTAAGGAGTGTCAGAAATAACTATATCTATTTCAACCTTGATCATGTAAACCAACCTTACATTCCTTCCTTATACTTCTAACATTTGATATTGTCCATTCAAGTAACATAGAATTGGATTTTTTGAGTGAAACGAGAATGGCTAGATTCAGATAGAAGGCTAAGTTATAAACTTTGGGTGACAGTTCACAATGGCCCAGCCTAAGCCCGTTTTAAACCAACCAGAGTTATAGCACTAACCCAGCATTTCCCCGGCGTGTGGACTTAAACTCACCCCTGTTGAGGAATTCTGGGAGCTGCCTAATTGCGAAAGAACACACTGATCCATTTTCCGAAGCTAGGTTCATGTAACATGTTAGTCTTACTGTAACACTGCAAAGATGAGCATTGCACCATGGCGCAACTGTACATCGCTTGCTTCGTATCATTCAGTCCCAATCCAGCCAGGGAGCAACTAGGAGCATTGGCAGCGTGACTCATTGCCTCATCGCTTCCTGCGACCAGCAGCAAACATTCCTCCGAGGTTTGCTCAGCAAGGCCGCAATCCAGCTTCACTGCATTCTTCTCGATGCCCGCTTCCTGCCCGTCATTCACTTGTGCTTCTGGCTTGCAAACGTTGCCGTAACCTGTTCACACTGCCTCCGAGAAGCAGGGGATCTCCAGATGGGCCTGTCAACCCTCCCCAGGTGGTATTCTACTGGTTGGGTGCGATAAATTGCAGGAAGGCTTCGCAGCACACCGGACCTCAGTGTGCACCCATGTGCAGATCAGTGAAAGGTGGAGTCTTTTAATAGATTAACAAGTTGGAAGGGACCTTGTAGGTCATCTAGTCCAACCCACCCACCTAAGCAGGAGACCCTACACCAGTGACGGCTAACCTTTTTGCCGTCACATGCCAAAAGTGGGGGGAGTGTGGGGGGATCACATGCGTGCGTGCCCACACCCATAATTCAATGTCCCCCATACCTCGCGCATGTGCACATGACTCCCCCACACTCCCCCCGCCTTTGGCACACGATGGCAAAAAGGTTACTGGTGTGCCCAGTAGGCCTGTTTTTCACCTTCCCCAGGCTCCAGAGGCTTTCTTGGAGCCTGGGGAGGGCAAAAACAGCCTCCCCCACCCCCCCGATGCCTCGCAGAGGCCAGAAATGGCCCATTTCCCAACTTCCGGTGGGCCAGGAAGGCCCGAAAATCAGCTGGCCGGCGCATGCATCCGCGCTGGAGCTGAGCTAGGGCAATGCTCACGTGCCCACAGATATGGCTCTGCGCACCACCTGTGGCACACGTGCCATCACGGCCCTACACCATTTCTGACCGATGGCAGTCCAGTCTCTTCTTGAAAGCCTCCAGTGATGAAGCTCCCACAACTTCTGAAGGCAACTTCTGTTCCATGGGTTGATTGCTCTCACTGTGAGAAAATTTCTCCTTATTTCCAGGTTGAATCTCTCCTTGGTCAGTTTCCATCCATTATTCCTTGTCTGGCCTTCAGGTGCTTTGGAGAATAGCTTGACCCGCTCCTCTCTGTGGCAGCCCCTCAAATATTGGAAGATGCTCTCCTGTCTCCCCTGGTCCTTCTCTTCACTAGACTAGCCATGCCCAGTTCCTGCAACCGTTCATCGTATGTTTTAGCCTCCAGTCCCCTCATCATCTTGGCTGCTCTTCTCTGCACCTTTTCTAGAGTCTCAACATCTTTTTTTATAGTGTGGTGACCAAATGTATATAGTGTTTTAAAAAAAAAAACTCAAATGCCTTTTTTAAGAAAAAAAAACCTGGTAATCACTTGGTCTTGCTTTAAGGAACCGGATGTTCCAGATTAATCTGAAGGGAAGTATGTGTGTATACCCAACAAGGGACGGTTGTTTCACTTCTACCGCAAAACACACCCATGAGCCCACACAATCGGAAGAATCGAAATGATGGGGGGGGGGAGAACATCTCAGGACATGCGCATGCCAAGGACGGCCTTCAGGCAAGGATGGAAAATGACGTTTCCCCGGTGGGCTTGAGCCACAACTACGTTGAGTTTCATTTACTGCAATACCAAATACAATAAATGTGATTTCCCCCCCCCTTCCTGTTCCCTAAAACTGAGAAGTTCTCAGGACCGCACCAAAGGACGTGTGAGCTGTCGTTCTTAGTAATAGCAAGCGGAACAAAAGGAAATGAAACTTTTGAATGCTAGCAGGCCTTGTGATCTCTACTGACATCAATCACAGCTGTGTTTTAAGCCAAAATTAAAAGAGGAACAAAATAACAAAAAAATGGCAAAAAAAAATCACAAATGCAACTTTCGTCTTTTCCCTGGCAATCGAAAGGTGTCCAGAACCGCAACTCACCCCCATTTTTAAGGCCCTACAACAGAAGCTGTTCCATGCCCTGCAGAGATAAACACCTCTGAAATTCCATCGCAAAACTGGCAAAATTTGGGGCCATATGGTTCTTTGTGGTCCGGGGAGGGGTGGGGGTGATACTGATATAAGAGGGTTAAGTCATGGGTCTAAATCAGAGGTCTTCAAACATGGCAGCTTTAAGACTTGTGGACTTCAACTCCCAGAATTCTCTAGCCAGCAAAGCAAAGAATTCTGGGAGTTGAAGTCCACAAGTCTTAAAGCTGCCAAGTTTGAAGACCTCTAGTCTAAATTTTGTATCAGGCTGAAACCCTAATCACCTATCACGAGTTGGGACCGTTTCTAAGGCAGGGTTCTCCAATCTTGGCCACTTTTAAGACTTGTGGACTTCAACTCCCAGAATTCCTCAGCCAGCAAAGCGAAGGATTCTGGGAGTTGAAGTCCACAAGTCTTAACGTTGCCAAGGTTGGAAACCCCTGTTCTAGGGGACTGGCAGTTACTAATACTTAGCCACAGATATGATGGGAACAGCAAACTGGTGACTGACAGATCACAGAGAGATGTTGGGTTTTTACACAGACAGACACACGTCATTTTTCATGAAGATTTGAAAATCGTTTATTTTTTAAAAAACAAAAAACAAAACAGTGAGCCCTTGTTTGTAACAGGGGGTTCCCACCCCAGGCACTCATATAGCCACCAGGAACGTGTGAACACCGCCCTTCCCGCACCCTAGCCCCCCCCCCCAAAAAAACCCAGATTCTAAAGAAATTCCAGCAATAAATGTACAGTACATTTGTATGTGCAGCTGAGCATCCAATAAACACACCCTTCATTTTTAATTCAGGGGAACGAAAAACAAAAATACCCCTTTAATTTTAAACCCTCGAAACAGATCAGCGTATTCAAGTTCCCCAGCTGCAGTTTTTAAGTTACAGAAAAAGTACCTTGTTTTTCCTTTAATTGTGACAGCCTTTATGGAAGGCATGGGGGGGAAGGAAAAAAATGAGTTATTTTCACACGGATCATTCTCTGACCATCAACAGGCTTTTTTGGAGGTGGGGAGGGGGGGGAATAATAACCATCTGGATTTGTCTGGATTTGTGTCTGGATTTGATGAGTGATTTTTTGGGGGGAATGATTCCACCACAAGACAGGAAAAAATGACAAGCAATGAAGGAAAAAAGGCCACTAAAGATTTCAGGGCAGGGTTGAGGATTTAAGTGCCTTCAGAATATTATACCCCGCCACTCCCAACCTGTCAGACAGATTAGGACTACAAAACCCAGCATTCCCAACCAAGGAAAGACACTAGTAGGAGGAAACCCCATTTTCAGACCAAGACGGTTCCCACACGCCAGCTACGGCGGTACATGCTGAGTTTGGGAGCCACACATTAAAGCATGTCGTAGCCCCCTTCCCTTAAATTTGGATGCCTCTCTCCCCCTCCAGCCTCGCCTTTCTGGGCACCCTAGAGAGAGGGAGGGACGGGGGGGACTATGAATCCCATCTGTTCCACTGCTAGATGGGGACTGATGGGGAGGGTAGTCCTGAAGCCTTAAGGCAACGTACATGATGCACGTCCAGAGGCCCAAATAAGATTTTCTTTCCAAAATGTTGAGACGCACCATGGGTACGTAAGCTGCGGAAGATGGCATCACGGCATGAAAGTTTATTTTGGAAGAAAGCTGGAGAGAGAGAGAGGTGGGGAGGGACCCCCCCCACACACACACATCAGAAGGAAGGGGACGGAGGAGCAGAACCCGGGGACTCCCCTGCCCCAATAAATCTCTCCAGGCTGAATGTCCTGCCCTACCAATTCTCTGGATGGCATAAATCAGCTTGAAGATCTAGGTAGAACTTCAACTCCCAGAATTCCCCTGCCGGCCATTTTGGTGAGGGTATTCTGGGAGTCGGAAGTCCACCCCTATCTTCAAGTCGCCAAGGAAAAGAAACACCGAAAAGGCGTTTTGGAGGGCTTTGCATTGCGTGCACACAACTTTTAACACAACTCTGCTACAGGTTCTCCAGATCAAAATATATTTCTGAATACTCTCACCCGGCGAATGAAACTGTGAGCTTGGAAAGAAACAGTCGGAAAAGAAATAAAGATCAAACAACTCCTTCATGCGCTCTCCCTCCAAATGTTGGAGAAAGAAGGTGGAGGGGGGGGAAAGAATTCCAGCTTTCAGGAGCCTCTGCAGGTCAAAAAAGTCAAAATGGCCTCCCAAACCACACAATCAACCTTTCCTGCCTGACTTTTTAAAACATTGAAATTTTTATTTTATTTTTAATTTAATATATTTAATTTAAATATATTTAAAAAAAACAGGTGGAGTTTAGATTACACTATTTTGGCCTCCATCTAACTTTTTTTTTTTTTTTTTTACTGTAAGCTACAAGACATCCTTGTGAGGATTATTCCTGCACTTTTTGAAATCCGGAAAGAGCTCAGCTGAGGGGAGGGACAGGGAGACGGCTGAAGAGAACATTTTACGCTGGCTCAGCGCAACCGAGAGGCTCTCCCCGTTGAGTCACATCTGATCCAGATCACACCCAGAGTGCAAGCCGCAGTGGAAACTGCAGACAGAAAATGCAATCTGATTTTTCCCCCCCTCCCTCCAGGGTTAGCACAACCACGGTTCTCTAGCAGAAGGAAAAATCAATTCTTCCTTCTCCTTTCTCATTCCAGGTTTTTCTCTTCCCCACAAGGTCTTCCCAAGCTGGTCAGAATACGAGTTTCAAGGATTCGGATGAGAATCGTGCATCTTACAATGGCCAGGGACGAGAAAAGCTGAATTAAATGGAGGGGCGGGATTAAAAAGAGACGTCGCAAGCCCCCTTCCGTGCGTCAAGACATGCTTGAAAATTAGAGGAGGGGGCAAGGAAGTCTCTCTGCGTCGCAGACAACTTGCGATGCTCCCCCAATTCCTCGGTGGACTCATTTGGGGGTCCATAAGCCCTCATATTAAAATAGAGAGTTTTGTTTTTGTTTTTTTAAGGGAAAGAGAAATTTAAAAACTGCTTAAGGAGAGGAGGCAAGGAGAGATTCAGCCCGATGGTTCCAGCACTTCAAATTGGCCATTGCTTAAATAGGATTTAAAAAGCGAGTGAGTGAGCAAGTAAGCAGGAGGAATTGGGGGAGGGAGGGGGTTAGCAACTGGAAAGGGCTGAAATCAGAGGGGAGAGGGACTTATACCCCCCCCCCGCCGCCCCACCATCCTTAGAGCCTCCTGGCAAAATCCTCCTCTTTGGTCTATGCCAGTGTTTCTCAACCGTGGCCCCTTTAAACTGGATGGACTGCAACTCCCAGGATTCCCAGAACCTCCTGGGATTCTGGGAGTTGAAGTCCACCTATCTTAAAGGGGCCACAGCTAAAAAAAACAACAACAACCCACTGATCTGTGCTGAAGGCCACACAATCTAAGGTGCTGGAAACGAGATCTATGCCCCTCCCCCCAATAATGGATCGTATCAGTACAATTTTTTTTTTTTTAAAAAAAGAGGATTTATACCCACCGCTTGGAACTGAACCAGAAAAAGCACATTTTGTTCTCAAGAAACAATGTCCCACGCCCCTCGAGCAAAGACAGGTAAACATTTCCAAGGATGGGCCCTTGCTTCGATTCACCAGGTTGAGCTCCATCGTGCTGCCAGCTGTGGAAACAGGGTGGCATCCTAAGGATCGTGGACCGAAGACGGCCATGGCAGGAGGGAAAGTTTTCTCTCGGAGAGGGGGCAATACCGAGTTTGAATTCGTGAAAGAGCCGGTCAAGGAATGTGACGGACACCCCCGTTGTGGTCCCAACTTGAGTTGTGAATGTCCCTTGTTTACAGGAGGGAAGGGACCCTCCACAGAGCCGTAGGCAGGAATTTGGAGATAAGACAGCCACCAAAGCACGGAGGCTTCCGTTCCACTCCCTCCTGGCAGCGGGCAAACGGGTTCGGTCGGGCGCTAGGCATGCCTGCCCTTGTCTCTTCCCAAGCAGGTGGAACAGGTCAGGAGAGAGGCGAGGCGAGACAAGGCGAGGGCAGGGCGTTTCCGGCAGAGACACTGGAAGAGGCAACCTGAGGAAGCGAACCGTCCCACCGAGACTCCCCATCCCCACCAAAAGCTTAGCCTGCTAACGCAGCACCTTCGGAAGCTTGGCGGGGTCTACTCTGCCAACCTGGTGTGCCCAAGCGGGAGGATTGGCTTCCAAGAGGCCACGGCGGAGCAAACTCAAGTTCCTTGGAAGTGCCAAGCTTCCCCACCTTTAAAAGGTGGGCGGGGGAGGACGGGACCACCCCCAAGTCAACACAGAGCTCCTGGAACTGGTCCCAGCCAACGCTCTTCACGAGGGTCTTCACCTTTGGCTTAGACTCAACTCATTCGGAAGACACCTGAGTTCGGAGGGCTTGAGGAGGGGGGGGCGGGGAATGTTCCAAAGGGGTGCAGGCAGGTAGCTATGGATCAATGGGATGGGGAGGGGCCAAAGGACCCCCCCCCACCTCCCCTCCACTTTTCCATCCGCAGAAATCAAGGCATCTTCCGAGAGAGAGAGAGAGAGAGAGAAAGAGAAGCAACGAGATCTTCCAGGCCTCGACGTTTGATGGTGAGGCTTCTGCCAGGAGTTGGAGAAGAGCTGAAGAGGGGGGGGAGGGGACAGATGGAAGATAAGATTTGAAGAACTCGTCGGTTAGGGAGGTTGCGTGCGCCCGTTATCGAGTTAGCTCTCCGGCTTCCAGAATTACGATTTGTAGTTAGAGGTAAGCCACATTAAGCCTTCATAGAGTCCTTCTCCCGATGTCGCGCACGACGGCTGGACGTACCAATTCCTGTCCCTAATGCGAGTGAGCCCCAGTTTCTCCTGGATCTCGTGAGGTTTCATGGCGTCCGGGAGGTCCTGCTTGTTGGCAAAGACCAGGATGATGGCGTCCCTCATCTCCCGGTCGTTGATGATGCGGTGAAGCTCTTGCCGGCCTTCGTCGATCCGATCCCGATCGGCGCAGTCCACCACAAAGATCAACCCTTGGGTGCCGGTATAGTAGTGTCTCCAGAGAGGCCGGATCTTGTCCTGACCTCCCACGTCCCAAACGTTGAATTTGACGTTCTTGTAGGTCACCGTCTCCACGTTGAAACCTACGGTGGGGATGGTGGTGACGGGCTGGCCCAACTTCAGCTTGTAGAGGATGGTGGTCTTGCCGGCGGCATCTAAGCCCAACATCAAAATCCTCATCTCCTTGTTACCAAAGATCTTGGATAGCATCTTCCCCATGGCTGCAGGCAAGGACCACACAGTCCATACAAGACTGGAGGGGAAGGGAAGGGAAAGGGGGCAAAGGAAGAGGAGAGAGAGAGAGAGAGAGAGAAGGTTGATTGAAAACACAGCACGAACAGCAGAAGCATGCTAAATTTACATTTCTCCTGGTCTCCTTGCCAATACCTTGATGTAACTCCAGGGTCCTCCTTAGCCAAGGAAGAACCATTAGCCAGTGGAACGACTTGCCACCAGATTTTGTGGGTGCTCCAATATTGGAGGTTTTTAAGAAACTGGAGAGCCATTTGTCTGAAATGGTCTAGGGCCCGGGTCTCTAACCTTGGCAACTTTAAGAGTTGTGGACTTCAACTCCCAGAATTCCTCAGCCAACTTTGGCAACTTCTGGGAATTCTGGGAGTTGAAGTCCACAACTCTTAAAGTTGCCAAGACCTCTAAGATCCCTCTGTTAAGACTAACAAAATCCTCTCTCCCACCCTTGGCCAAATCTCCCCCACCCCTTACCTGGTCACTTCCCTATTCTCACCTGAGCAGAGCCACTGCAGGTGGCAGTTGCCAAGCAAAACTGAGCAAAGCATGGTCTCGTACCGCGAGCAGAATATTTATTTAATCTTCCCAGGCAACAAGGGAGGTTCCCTTCTCTCGTCGACTGGAAAAGTCTGTTCTTGCTTCCAACCTCAAGCCCCATTCGGCCAGCATAATTTAAGAAGAGATCGGACAACCCATTGGTTCAGACAGTGACAGTTCTGTTTGAGCAGAGGGCTGGACTAGAAGACCTTTAAGGTGCCTTCCATCTCGTTATTCTTGTTAATGGTGCCAAAGTGAAGGCAGCATACCAGGAATGAATGAATGAATGAATGAATGAATGAATGAATGAATGAAAATGAATGAATGAATGAATATTAACATTCAGGGAGATGCCAAGGCTCCATACAGCTGGTATGGCTTATTATATTATTATATTATTATCCTTAAGATTCTTTTTATATTCCTGCTCCACAATTCGGAACTCATCATTCCCAAACTCAAAAGAGAAGGGATTTGAGGACCTAAAACAACTTCTACAAAGAATACAGGTAGCTCTCAACTTATGGCCTCAACGGAGCCCCAAATTTCCGTCGCTAATCAAGACATTGAGTTTTGCCCCATTTTACGACCTTTCTCACCACAGCCGCTAAGCGAATCGCCGCAATTGTTTCAGCTAGTAAGACCGGCTGTGAAGTGAATCTGGATTTCCCCAGGAGGTCACAAAAAGCAGATCACGTGACTCTGCCAACGGTCATAAATACGAACCAGCCAAGTGTCTGAATTTTGATCCCCTGACCATGGGGCTGCTGAAACGGTCGTTAAGTATGAAAAACAGTCATAAGTCACTTTTTTCAGTGGCGTTGCAACTTTGGTCACTAAACGAACGGTCGTAAGTCAAGCACTAGCTGTATCTCCCACTTTTCATCCATCAAACGATCAACCAGCAAAGCAGAGGCACAATAAATACATACCACCTCAAAATAAGACCGGGTCTTATATTAATTTTTGCTCCAAAAGACGCATTAGGGCTTATTTTCCGGTTAGGTCTTATTTTGAGGAAAATACGGTACTAAATGCGACTGTCTGGCTTGATCATCTTAACTGGGGTTTATTTTGGGGGCTTATATTACGAGCATCCTGAAAAATCATGCTAGGGCTTATTTTCCAATTAGGTCTTATTTTGGGGGGAAACAGGGTAAGTATAATTATTGTATTTTCTTCCAATTGCATTTTAAATTGTTTTTATAGGATTTTTAGTAAATCGTTTGTGTTCGGAACTCTGTATTTTGATACGGCCGATGGGCCGATCCATAAACCCAAGCGAATTCAACTTAAGAAACGTGGCGAGAAAAATGGGCTCCCTTTAACAGATTTCTCACTTAGCAACATAAACTCCGGGCTGAATCGCGGCCGTTAATTTGAGGACTGCCCATCCCTGCGGCCTTTAAAAAGGAACATTCGGGTTTCCTTCTGGAGGCAGGAAAAGAAAACCGGAAGCCCGGAAAACTGTCACGCCCATCCCGTGTTTCTGGCTTTTTCAACCTTCTTTTCCCAAAATGTCTCCCGACCAGTTTTTCCCAAGCTGTAACTCAGGTGACACCTGTCTATTTGCATTGCAATTAGTCATGCTCTGCAATTAATTCTCCTGTGAGTCAAAGGGCGGGACGAGGAATTTGGAAAGGCATAAATTATCTCCCGCTCTTCCAGCACAAAATCTTGCCAAGTTACTTCTACAGGTAAGTCCTCAACCTACGACCAGCAAGGAGCACTAAAATGTACGTTGTTAAGCGAGGCATTTAAGTGAGTTTTACCTCGCTTTACGACTTCTCTGGCCACAGTCGCAGTGGATAAATTAGTAACCCGGTTGTTGAGTGAATCTGGGTCCCCCCCCCCAGTGACAAGGTCGCAACGGGGGATCGCGTGATCCTGGGGGCACAGCAACGGTCATAAATAGGAGTCAGTTGCCAGAAGAGTTTTTAAGTTAGTGGTTGAGAGTGAATCTGGTTTCCTCAGTGACTTTGCCTGTCAGAAGGTCGCAAAGAGGGATCGCAGGACCCCGGGGACGCTGCAACGGTCGTAAGTCTGAGAACCCGTTGTCAAAGCATCTGAATTTTGATCATGGGGATGCTACTGAGATTTGAACTGTTGAAAAACAGGTATGTCACTTTTTTTCAGCAACCTTGGAACGGTCACTAAATGAACCGTCGTTAAGTCGAGGACTACCTATACACCCCTCCCTGCCTCCCAAATTTTTCTCCTTTCTCCCTTCCCAAGTTCACCGGCCTCCCATCTTAGTGTGCAGAGAAAGTCACACACGCAGGAAGTTAACGTGCAGGTCCCACCTGGGGCCACCGGAACATTCTCAGAAAAAGCAGCCCAACCCACTTCGGGGCCTCCCCCTCCTCCTCCTCCTCCCCAACACACGCACACACACACACACACAAAAGCGAAGGTCACATTTTTAGAAGCAAAGACACCAAAAACCACAATGACAGGCATTGCTGAGGCCAGCTCACGTCCAGAGTCTATACTATTAGTCACCTTTTGCAAGGTGGTTAGGCTTGAGAAAGGGGGAGGGGAAGACCGGCCTTGTTCGACAGGTGAGCAAAGAGCTGACCTTGGCAAAAAAAAATAAATAAATCCTGCCTCTTCATCCTACTAGATCTCAGCGAGGATGGATTTCCTAATAATCGTGAGCTCTACTCTGCGGGACGGTTGGGTTGGCGCTCCCTTCTAAAGTTCTCCAAAAACTTCTTGGCTAAACTTGCCTCCCCCCCCTTCCTGTTTTTCAGCCCCAAGACAGAAGAAGATACTCAAGGACCTTCCTAGTTCAATTCCCGATCACCTGTCAGTTAAGGCCCCAAATCCACCGAGAGCGCAAAAAGGTGAAACGAAACCAGCTTCAAATATTTGTATTTTATGTTTTTTAATTCTGGCTGTACACCGCCCTGAGTCCTCAGGGAGAAGGGCGGTATATAAATTTAAAATAAAATAAATAAAAAAATAAAGGCTGAATTTCCAGCTCTCATTTCCATCTGGAGGCTCATTTCAGCCAGGTTCACTCCCTTTTAATTTCAATTTATGCGTCGCTGAAGCTGTCGCCATCCTTCTGACACCCTCACTTTCCCATGGGGAGTGTCCCCCCTCCCCCTCCAGGCCACCTCACCCGCCCCCCCCACCTCCCCCCCCCCCGTTTCACAGGTTCCAAAACTCCCAGAAATAACCTTCCTTTCTATTCATCAGAGCCTTTTTCTGGATGGGTTTTGCTATTTCAGCTCCCAAGTTTAAAAGACTGAAAAGAGGGAGGGAGGGAAAAGAAGAAAGGGGAATAGAGAGGGAAGGAATGAACGAAGGAACGAAGGAAGGGGAGAGAAGGAAGAAAGGAAAGTAAGGGAGAGAAGGAAGGAAGGAAGAGACCAGGAAAGGGAAAGGAAGGGAAAGGGACAGGGAGGGAGGAGAGGAAGGAAGGGGAAAAAGGAGGAGGAAGGAGAGAAAGAGGAAGAAAGGAAGGGAAGGAGAGAAAGAAGGGGAGGGAGGAAGGGCTACTGAAATGGAGGGCCAGAGGATCAAAGTCTCAGTTTCTCTCTCTCTCTCACACACACACACAGTGTTTCTTCACCTTTCTGAAGCTGGGGAGGAAGAAAGAGAAGAAAAAAAAATCAGAGCACCCAACCATTTTCAAGAGGAAACGCCCAACTTTTCAAAAGTCTTGCCAACTTTTCTCCACCTTCCCCAAATAGCGGCCTTCACAGGCTGTCCCAACACCTGCGCCCAGCTTCTCTGGCAGCCTGGCATGGAGGAAGGAAGTTATGCTGAATCACAGAAAAGACCTGGAAACTTTTTGTTGGTCTATTTTAGGGCAGTGTTTCTCAACCTTGGTAGCTTGAAGATGGGGGGACTTCAACTCCCAGAACCCCCCAGCCAGCGCTGCTGGCTGGGGGATTCTGGGAGTTGAAGTCCCCCCATCTTCAAGCTTCCAAGGTTGAGAAACACTGTTTTAGGGGGGGGAAAACCCCAAAAGCACCCTTCACCCTCTGGCAGAAGCCTTCAGGCCCAGCTCCAGGCTGAATTAAAGAGCTGGGGAGACTTTTCAAATGGGGTGGGGGGGACCCAAAGGGCCTTCTGACCAGGAGGAAATCTCAGTCTTGAGCTTTAAAGAGCCTCTGCCAACTTGTCCTTGAGGTGGCATGAAATGACCCTGGACAGGGGGCACTGATTTATTTCCCCCCCCCCCCAAAAAAAAGGAGGGGCCAGAGGGTTTTAGGGAGGTTTTTTTTTGCATTTCCAAAAAGGGGGGGGGGGGGAAGATTTTGCTCGGGGGGAGGGAGGAAAAAGAGAAAGACATTTTGCTCCTGGAAAAAAGATGGGGGGAAAAAAGAGATTTTTTTTTTGCTCCAGAACAAGAAATTCAAAGTTTTAAAAATTTAAAATTTGCAATGCACAACCTGAGAAAAAGAAGCAACCCCCCTCCTCCTCCAGAACAGCCCGAAAAGAACTCCCCCCCCCACCTGAAAGAGCTAAGGAAGGGGGGAAGGGGAAAAAAAAGCAAAAGAAGAAACTGCAACATTGTTTCCAAGAAAGGAAGTCCTGGGAGAGGAAGTTCGGGGCTCCTCCGCCCCGTAGACAGCAAACCCCCCCCCCCCACCCAGCCCCAGCCAATCTCCCCGACCCCTCCCCAAAAAAGGGCCTTTCTCCGCCAGCTCTCCCCCCTCCCCTCCCTCCCCCACATACACACACTTTTCACACGCGGGACAAGGACGCACCGCGCTTCCGGACCCGAACACGTGTCTGCCGATTCAGCCCTTCCTCGCCTGCCTGCCAGCGCCCGACCGGAACGGCAGTTTTAATTCAAATCCGAGATCCCACCCAAATCTCCACTCGGGAAGGCGGTGCCCGGGGTGGGTGGTAAATCTTCCCCTCCCCAAGTTTGCCCACCCCCTGAAATTCCCACCGGGGGGAGGGGAGAGGGGGGGGCGGAGCGTCGGCCCCATTTCGGTCCCCCCTCCTCCCCCCTCGTCCTGCCTTTGACCTCCAACTTTTTCAAGAGCCTTCACACGCCCCCTCCCCTCCTATTTGGGCTGCGAGGGGCCGGGGGGGGGGAAGGGTCCCCGCAGAGGCGCCCTTTCGGTTGAACTCGGGATGGGGAGGGGGCTGCAAGGAGAAAAGAGCCCCCCCCTCCCCCTGCCCTCTCTCTCCCCTTCCCTCCCTCCCTCTCTCCCCTCCATCCATCTCCCTCTCTCTCTCTCCCCACTTCCATCCCCGCACATTCCCGGCCGCGCCCCGCCAACCAGGCTGCGTTCGCACGATCCGGCTGACTCGCGTCTTCCCTTTAAAGAGCAGGGGCTGTAAGGTTTCAGGGGCGGCGCCCCCCGGGGAGATGAATCAGGGGAAAAAAGGACCCATTGGGGAGCGAAGCCAGGGGGCCACGCCTTAAAAGGACCCTCCCCCCATCTCTCTCTCTTCCCAGGGTCCCCGGCCCTCCCCCCCCCCACGCAACCAGGCAAAGGCACTCAGCACGCCCCCCCCACACACACACCCCTCGCCCTCCACTCACCTGGGAAGAGAGGAGGAGGAGGAGGAGGAGGCGGGCGCGCGCCCCGACGGACGAGCAGAGGGCGGGGGGGTCCCAACCCGGCTGACTTTCTCCCGGCGCGCGCGGGGAGGGGGGAGATCAAAGGCGCCTTTGGAACGTTGGGAAACTTTCCGCGGCGGCGTCACAAAGGGAAGCGGCCCTCAACGTTCCACGCGGAGCCCCCCGCTGGGCCGGCTGCAAAGTCACCCACGGCTTCCTCGCCGCTCTGCCTTCCCTTCCCTTCGCAGCCCGGCCCCGGCGAGCTCCAGCGCAGCCCCCGCCGCCGCTTGGCTCCTTCTTCTCCGGCGGCTGGAGCGGCCGAGGCTGCGAGCGGAGTCCCTGGGCGCGTGGGATCGGCGGCCCCTGGCAGCTCGTGGGTCCCGGAATAGGAAAGGGCGCGGACGCAGAAAGGGAGCCTCCCCCCGCCTCGTTCAACGGCTGGCGTCAGGGCGCATGCTCGCCTTCCTCTTAAAGGGCTAGCGCCTTGAAAGGAAGAGGAGGAGGTGGGCGTGGGAGGTGGGTACCCCTCTCCTCCTCCTCTTCCTTCCCACCCGGGCGGAGCTGCCCTTTGGCACCTTTGGACGAGAAAGCCTCCCGGCACTTGCGGAGAAGGTCGGGCCTTTGCTGCTGCGGGAACGACAGCCCGACAAGGTAGGACGGCCCAGCAGAAGAAGACTCGGGAGACCTGATCCGGCAAAGGAAGAGAATTGCGGAGCGCCTCGCAAAAAGGCCGTTCAGATGAAGGCAACGGAAAAGATCGCTTTAAGTGACCCACCCGCCCCCACGACCCCCGTGTCTCCTTCCTGGTCCTGCTTCGCGTTCCAGAGTGAGAAAACGGGGGGGGGAAATCCCAAAACTGTTTCTTTCTTCCCCCCCCCCCAACTGGCAACTGGACTTTCTTGGGGTTTTTTTTTGTTTTCTTTTGAAGACGTTTCGTTTCTCATCCAAGAACCTTCTTCTGTTCTGACTGGATGGTGGGGAATGAAAGGGATTTTTATACCCTTTTGGGGGGTGGGTGGGAATCAAATGAAGGAAAAAGCCCAAAGCAGATCGCAGCTGGCGACCCATTGGGGAGAGCACTCGGTCCGCCCTTGGAATTCAGGCGCCAGCCTTTTTTTTTAAAAAAAAATAAATCATTTCTGAGCGAGTTAGAGAAATCCTGCGATGCTAAACGAACAGAATACACGGGTGAACTCCCGTGTTTGTCAGTTCCAACGTTACAGTCAGTAGCAGCTCCTTTCTGGCCCGGTTTCAAGCTGCATCCGCCGCACGATGGGATCGCGCATGTGTGTGTGTGTGTGTCTGTGTGTGTGAAGCGGCCAGTTTGCACTGCAGTTTTGGACGCAGCAAAAACTCTCGCGTGGGAACCCAGGAAACTCAGGTTGCGAAGTCTGTAAACTTTGTCTGATCTGGAAAGGAGATTTTGCAACGTTTTGTGCAACGAGACAAAAAAAAAAAAAGCTGCAGTCGAGTCGCTTTTCCAGCAAGCCGAGCAAAATTGACCACATATTTCCATCACGCGTGCACTTTAGTATTATGATGCGCTCCTTTTATCTATGTTTCCTGCTATTATCCACGTACCCTATACTGTACCGTACGCTAAATAAATAAATCACTAAAATAATTGACTGCGCTGAAATGCGCAGATCCGCCAGCAGAGGGCGGGCCGCTCCAGAGAACTGGAAGGGCTGCGGGAAATCCGGCTTGTTCCATTGCCAGTGGATTGAAAGAAAAGATTCTTGAATCGGCTGCAATTTGTGATAAACTCATTTTGCTTCTTAACGAAAATGGAAATGATTTGCAATTAATTTTTCTCTCTCCCCCCCCCCCCCACTTTGCAGTCTGGGCTCAGTTGTGGTCGTAAGTCGAGGACTGCACCACAGCCCTCATTCTGGAAGGCAGGAGAAACCGTTAAATTGAAACCAGAAAACATTTAAAAGAGCATCAATTTCTTCCTTGTATATAATTTATTGATTCAAAGAGCCCACGCAGATAAGACTAGAGTTGGTTCTAAAATTCGGCTTATTTTTTCCCCAGCGCCAGGGGCTTAAGAAGACGAATCGCCCTTTTATTAAAAAAAATAATATCCCAAAACATACATCTTTTTAAAACCGCTCAGAGAAAGGCCATCACTGGTCAGATTTTTCCCTTTCCAAGGACACCGTACAAATAAAGCGAGGATTAAAATAATCATTATTATTAACAAAATCTAGGAAGGCCGCGGATTACCGCAGCCCCTTTTTAATCTACATTTTTAAAGCGAAAGGAGGCAAAAACAGGAAAAGAAAAAGAGTGGGTGGGCTTTGCCGTCACCAATTCTGCTCCTTCTTCCCTGCTGCCGCCCCCCCCAAAAAATCCTCGTAATTCTTGGCAGAAAATCCAGTCCACCTTTTTATAAAGTGCAGAGGGTCGGTCAACAATCGAAGGCAGGAACTCGGAGAGAGAGAGAGAGAGAGAGACGGAGAGAGATTTGCCATTTTGGGGAGAGAAAACCTTTGAAATAGAAAGGAGAAAAATATTAATGAAACGCCAGGTTGGGATATGCCTCAGGTACGGGCGATCCTCGGCTTACACCTGCTTAGTGACCGTTCAAAGCATAACTGCGCTGGAAAAAACGTGATTTGCAAGTGGTCCTTGCACCAGTGGTGAAATCCAATTTTTTTTTTACTACCGGTTCTGTGGACTCGGCTTGGTGGGCGTGGCATGGGAAGGATGCTGCAAAATCCCCATTCCCTCCCAACTCCTGGGGGAAGGATATTACAAAATCTCCATTCCCACCCCATTCTGGGGCCAGCCAGAGGTGGTATTTGCTGGTTCTCCGAACTGCTCAAAATTTCCGCTACCGGTTCTCCAGAATTTGTCAGAACCTGCTGGATTTCACCCCTGCCCTTGCACTTAACTCAAGCAGGAAACCCTATAGAATCATTTCAGTGATGGAGCGCCCACAACTTCTGGTGGCAAGCTGTTCCATTGGTTCATTGTCCTCACTGTTAGGCAGTTTCTCCTTAATTCCAGGTTGCTTCTCTCCTTGATTAGTTTCCATCCATTGTTCCTTGTCCTGACGTCTGGTCCTTTGGAAAATAATTTGACCTCCTCTTCTTTGGGGCAGCCCCTCAAATACTGGAATGCTGCTATCATGTCCCCCCTAGTCCTTTTTTTTTTCTCTAGACTGGCCAAACCCAAATCCTGCAACCTCCTGAGGTCCAGACCATCCCCACCCTACTGGCCTTCCGAAAAGCGGTGAAGACCTGGTTTTTCCGGCAGGCCTGGGGCCGTTGATCTCGCTCTTGTGATCTGGCGAGATCCGGCCATGAATGGCGTGAATGGGCTTTTAATGTTTTTTTTAAATTTTTCATTGTCTTTTTATAATGATTTTTTAAATGTATTGTGAGCCGCCCTGAGTATTCGGAGAGGGGCGGCATATAAATTTAATTAATTAAATTAAATTCTTCATCAATTTTAATCTCCAGGACTTCAATCATTTTAGTCAGGAATGGTATTCATTTACCTTCTGCGCATGCCCCCGGCCTCAAAAATGTGCTTAAATAGGATGGCATAGGGCTGGGGTGGGCCCGGCCCCACCCACAATTTCGGCTACCAGTTCGGGAGAACCACTCCGAACTGGCTGAAGACCATCTCTGATCTTAGTTGCTCTTCTCTGCGTTTTTTTCCAAAATCTCAACATCTTTTTTATAACATGGTAACCAAAAACTGGATGCAGGATTCCAGGTTCCAGTGGTACTAATAACTTCATGTCAACTATTAGTAACACTTTAAAGCAGAGGTGTCCAACTTTAGCCACTTTTAAGACTTGTGGACTTCAACTCCCAGAATTCCTCAGCCAGCAGAGCTCTGGGAGTTGAAGTCCAGAGGTCTTTAACGGGCCAAGGTTGGAGACCCCTGCTTTAAACTGTTTTTGGAAAAGGAAGCCAATAATTGGGAACGTGTATTCTTCCAGCATCTTCCATCCTCAATAATATCATCTTAAGTTTCCTATCCTTCCTCCCTCTCTTTCTTTTCACATCCTCCTCCCAAGAAGGCAACTTTTTTCTCATTCTTATCTGGGTTTGGGCAACGATCCGTGTCCTCGATCAAGAATCAAACTTCATGGAGACAAGGATCAGCCCAAACACCTCCGACGGAATTAAACAATGAAAGAAACAACCGGAGAACTGGAAAAGCCTCCAACGGTGCCGAGGGGTGTTTTGCCTTCCGCGTTTGGAATTGACGTCTTTAATCAAGGAAGCAGGTTTTGGGTTTCTCGGAGCGCTGTTGTGTTAAAAGCAGAAATAATCAGTTTGTCCCCGTTTCTTTTCAAGGGTTTCAGGTGACTCTCCGTCGTCTTCACAAAAGAAGAAATGCCAATTTAACCCATTTGGAAGGAAACAGCGCGGAAAGTTAATCCAGGCTTAATCTGCTCTCTAAACTCCTTTTTTGTCAGAAGGATTGACAGAATAAAAGGGGGGGGAGGGGGGAAGGTTGGGATATATTTATTAAGGGACAAAGGAGGGGTGTGGTTTTTGTTTGAAAAAGCACTAATTAATTTTGTTCCAGGTCTCGCTGACTCCAGCAAGCTCCCGATTTTGATGGCAGCACCAAATACAGGCCAACCTTAATGTATCGCCATCCCGTTTTAACAACGGTTTAAATTTACAGCGGTCTCGGAGAAAGTAATTTACGACCGGTTCTCAGATTTACGACTGTCGTTCCACCTTCACGGTCACGTGATTGTGGCGCTTGGCAACCGTGGGTCACAAAAGTGAGATCCGGTGACCTCGGGATACTGCCACCGTCATAACTACGAGTCGGTTGCTATGTGCCTGGGTTTTGGTCACGTGACCCCCGGGGAGGCTGCCACGGTCGTAAGTGTGAAAAAATGGTCAGTAGTCCCTTTTTCCAGTGCCGTTGTAATAACTTCGAACGGTCCAGTCAATGAACGGTCGTAAGTCGAGGACTGGCTGGAAGACGTTCCTGGGAGGCACGCAGAGTGGCACAAGTCCAAAACTGCTTGGACTTGTGCTATTCTTGTGCCAGTCGTCTTTGAGCCCCAGGAACTACATTGGGGGGGGGGGGTGTCTCATGTCCCCCCGCCCCACTTCCCCGGAGCTTCAGGTAGAAAAGGGGGAGGGGTCTGCAAAAGCCCAGGGCCCCAAAATACACACCGGAGGGTTAGCTGAGCCCCAAACAGCCTCTGAATTCGGGCAGTGAGATCAACTTGTTGCCGCTGAGATCGCAGTAATCCAGGAACTTCCGGACGCAACGTTTGGGCCGGGCGTTTTGCTTCATGTACAGCTTGAAGGGACGGAGCTCCCTCTCGCTCAGGCCGTTGCTGAAGTCTCGGTCCAAGTGGGTGAACTGCCAGCGCACGGCCCGGTCTTCCAGGCTGGGGGCCGCCAAGGAATCCGGAAACCTGCCGAGGGGGAGTCACATTTTTTAATGTGGTTTAATTGTTGGCGCAAGTCAAGACGGCGCGGGTAATGCTCCCAACAACAACCCTGAGAGGTAGGTTGGGCTGAGGGGAAGCAACTCGCCCCGAATCCCCCAGGTGAGACTAGAACTCATCACCTCCTGGCAATTGGCCCAAAGTCACCCAGCCGGATTTCATGCCTAAGGCGGGACTAGAATTCACTGTTGACGATTGGCTCAAAGTCATCCAGCTAGCTTTCATGGCTAAGGCAGAACTTGAACTCATGGCCTTCCAATTCATGGCCCTGAAACTTTGCCAAACACTCTCTCTACCCCCCCATCTTTCTCCCTCTCCCTCTCCCTCTCTCCCTCTTCCCTTCTCTCTTTTTTCTCCCCCTCTCCCTCTCTCTCTCTTCCCTTCCCTCACTCTGTCTTTCTCGCTCTCTTCCTCTGCCCCTCTTCTCTTCCCTCCGTCCCTCTTTTTTTCTCCCCCCCTCTCTCCCTCTTCCCTCCCTCTCTGTTTTTCTCTCTTCCTCTGTCTCCCCCTCTTCCCTTCCCTCTCTCTTTTTTTTTCTTCCTCTCTCTCCCTTTCTCTCTCTCTCTCTCCTCCAACTCTGGCTAGCTGTGTGGGTCTGCGTCTCCAGGACCCTCCAGATAATAATACATCTATGTACAGGGTTCATATATGCCAACTGTACAAACGGTCTTAGCAAAATCTCTCAAATTAACCAGGTCCCAAAATTTGAGTTTGGCGTATGGTCGTCACTTCACCCGCAGCCTAACTCGGTGTTTCTCGATCTTGGCACCTTTAAGGGGTGTGGACTCCAACTCCCAGGATCCCCTAGCCACCACGTTGAAGTCCACCCATCTTCAAGTTCAAAAGGCTAGCTGGGGAAACCGTGGAAGTTGAAATCCACAGACCTTAAAGCTGAGAAACGGGGACGCTGCATGATATCTTTGATTGTACGGTTCACCGACCGAAGGCGCTTCCTTTTTCGCGATGGGCGAGCCGAATTTACCTGCGGTACGGAATGGTCATCAGCCTCGACTGCAGCATGTGGGAACTCAAGGCTTTGATCAGTTGGGTAAGGAACTGTGTTTTCTTTGACCCGGGACAACCTAGTTGGGAAGATCAACAAACAGGAATCTTTCCGACAGAAAGCTGCAAAAAAACCCTGGTCGAAAATAAACGTGTCGTCTTATGACTGTTTTTAAAGGGACGGAAACAGCTCTGACTTACCTGGCAGGATACGATCTCGGAACAGGGACCCTATTTCCGTGCTCTTGGTTGCCGTATCAGCTTCGCAGTCCGGGGGAAAGTTTCTGGGAAAACAACGAGGAGAAATTAAGAGAAGGCCATTGGGGGGCAGTAAATCTGCCCCTCTTTCCCAGGGGAGCCCCCGTTTTTAGGGGGTGACGTTAGGAACTGAAAAAAGCTGCAACCCAGATCTGGGTTTCCCAATTTTTTTATGTCTTTCAACCTCTCCCAGCCTTGGGGCTATCGGCTGTGTTGGGACTGCAATTCCCAGAATTCCTCAGCTGTCGTTGGGAATGCTGGGAGTTGCAGTCCCAGGACACACCCAGACGTCTGGTTTAGTGGAGGAGTCTTGGACCTTGGCAACTTTATGACAAACTTTATGACTCGTGGTCTTCAACTCCCAGAATTCTGGGAGTTCAAGTCCACAAAGTTGCTACGTTTGGAGACCCCCGCTTTACGCTAAAGGAGGGGGGTGTCACTGAACATAGGGGAGGAGAAAGGGGCTCAATCAGTTTCAAACTCTGGGTTCAAGACAGGTAGGGCACTGACCGGGTGGAGGTCCCTGGGATGGGCCGGCCGCTGACCACTCGCACGCACCAGCAGTAGCCTGTGGCTTGGTGACACTGCACCTCCTTGTAGGTGCCATCGCCTTCGCACTCCGGGATGAAGGTGCCCTCCTGTTGGTGCTGGCGGGCCTGGTGGATGGCTTCCCGCCGTTCCTGTTCGCATGACGGCGGGTATTCTGCAAGGAAAGAGCGTCAGGCGCAAGAGAAACCAGGAACAAGAGTTGAGTTCAAAGCGCTAAAAGTTTACCGCGTTCCACCTCTGTGCAAGAATCTGATCTACTAACAGTCAAGCCCAATTGGTGCCAGATAAGAATCAACGGAATTCATGGGAGGGCTGGACTTGTTTCTCTTGTGGGAACGCCACGATTCTAAACTTGACAGCATGTTTGACCCCACCTCCCAGGTCAGCCTGTTCAACGACAAGGAGGATGAAGCAGATTTTTCTTAGCAAATGCTAAAATGAATTTCACAAATAGACTGGAGAACCACCTGACTGGGATGGTTCAGATAGTCCTCGGCTTACGACCACAATTGACCCCAACATTTCTGTTGCTAAACAAGACAGTTGTTAAGTGAATTTGGCATCCATTTTATGACCTTCTTGTCACAGCTGTTAAGTGAATCACAGCAGTTGTTAAGTTAGCAATACGGTTGTAAACTGAATCCGGGTTCCCCATTGGCTTTGCTTGTCGGAAGGTCGCAAAGGGGGCTCACGTGACCCCGGGACACTGCGACCGTCATAAATAGGAGGCAATTGCCAAGAGTCCAAGAGTCAATTCCTAAATCCGGACTCTGGACAGATCTGGCACTGGACAGAAATGATTTTATTACATTCATTCATTCATTCATTCATTCATTCATTTATTGGTTGGATTTATATGCCGCCCTTCTCCGGAGACTCAGGGCGGCTTACAATGTGTTAAGCAACAGCCTTCATACTTTTGTATATACCTGCTTAGTAGGGCTTTTTTGCCCCCCCCCCAAGTGGTGTTCTTTTTTTATACAAAGTCGGCTTATTGCCCCCACAATCCGGGTCCTCATTTTACCTACCTCGGAAGGATGGAAGGCTGAGTCAACCTTGAGCCTTGGCGAGATTTGAACTCGCAGAAATTGCAGGCAGCTGGTGCTACTTAACAGCACTTTAGTCCGCTGCACCACCAAGGCTCCTTTTAATGGGCAGCTGTCCAGAGTCCCTTTTTAGAGTGACACGAGCAGCATATAAATGTCATAAAGACATTAGTAAGAAAACGGGGCTCACCTTGAGCCGGTTTCGCCGTGTGGTTGGTCTTGAAATCCGGAAGGATGATGGGAATCAGGAAAGGCAGGGTGGTGCCTTCTGGGTTACGGAGGAGCAGCGGGGGATCCGTGATGGGCAGGGAGGCAGAATAATTGACAGGAAACAGAAGCCGGGGATGGGGGTGGGGTTAGACCAAAAATGTGGCATCTGGAAACCCTCTTAATCACACCCAACTCTTTGGTGCCTCAATGGCCCTTCTGCTTTTTCTCTTGCCGCCCCCCCCAACCCAGCCCATCCTGCCCCATCCAAAGAGTCTCCTGGTCCTGTTCAGGGTGTGAGGGAGTCCATCCTGCCAGGCTTCCTTATGGAGAGACCACCTCTCGCCAAATAGGGAAGGGCACCCCACCCCAACTAAGGGCAGCTGTGCCACCCATCCACCTGAGTTGCCCACTCAGCCGACAGGGACTGCCGCTGCTTTACATTCATTTTCATGTATATTTAGATTCATCGGTGAGTGAGACTGCGAGTTCTAATCCTGCCTTGGACCTGAAAACCGGCTGGGTGACTTTGGGCCAAGCGCCAGGAGACTGGGAGTTCTAGTCCCACCTTAGGCATCACATCCGGCTGACTAACTTTAGGCAAGTCCTTCTCTTTCTCAGCCCAGCCCACCTCACAGGGTTGTTGTGGGAAGAATAGGAGGAAGGAGTGTTAGATATGTTTGTTAGTTTCATAGCGAAGGTGAGATATAAATAAATACAAAAAGAGAGGGGGAAGAAAGAGAAAGAAAGAAAGAAAGAAAGAAAGAAAGAAAGAAAGAAAGAAAAGGAAGGAAGAGTGAGAGAAAGGAAGAAAAAAAGGATACAGGAAGGGAAGGAAGGAAAAAGGATAAACAGGAAAGAAGGAAGGAAAAAGGATAAACAAGAGAGGAAGGAAGGATAAACAAGGAAGGGAGGAAGGAAGGAAAAAGGATAAACAGGAAGGGAGGAAGGAAGGAAAAAGGATAAACAGGAAGGAAAGGAAGGAAAAAGGATAAACGGGAGGGAGGGAGGAAGGAAAAAGGATAAACAAGGAAGGGAGGAAGGAAGGAAGGAAAAAGGATAAAATGGGAGGGAGGGAGGAAGGAAAAAGGATAAACAGGAAGGAAGGAGGGAAGGGAGGAAGAAAATAGGGCAACTCAGGCATGGCAGGTATAATAAAAGTCCACATTCGGTGTCTCCATTTCAAGCATGCCTTGTGCAATTGTTGCCTAGCAGTGCAAACACACCCATGCAACAACAGTCCAGTTCTGGCGAGTCCAAGCAGCTTATTTCCTCCCGGCACCCCCCACCAAAACCGAGGGCGGTGGCCTGGCTGGCACACTGACCAGAGTGGGGAGAAGGAAGGGCTGGAGACCTACCTGGCTGCCTGTGGGGCCCGGGGCTTGGCTGAGTAGGCCGGGGGGCGACGCCTTCCTCTGCGTTCAGGGAGGAAAAGAGGTGGAAGGCAGCTATTACAGAAGGTTTAATGTCATCTTCTCTGTCCAAAGAGGGGGAGAATTTAGAGCTGCAGGGGGCGCCTCGAGCCGGTGACGAGGGTTCATCGGGGTTCTACATTTGACGCAAACTGAGGGAGGGGACCCACCCGAAACCCAACGGGGCAGGGTATGCTTTCCTAAAACAGAAGAAGCTCCATCGGTTGAACTTCTGCCTGCTAAGTAACATCCCCCCCCCAAGGCATTAAAGGGAGGAATGCAGAAAATGACTTTAGGCTCTTTTGTCAGGAAGACCCCCCCTTCCGTAGCTCAAGTAGCTATAAATTGGCGTTTCTCAACCTCGGCAGCTTTTAGATGGCTGGACTGCAAATCCCAGAATTCCCTAGGCATTTTTAGATGGCTGGACTGCAAGTCCCAGAATTCCCTAGGCATTTTTAGATGGCTGGACTTCAAGTCCCAGAATTCCCTACCTGGCTAGGGAATTCTGGGAGTTGAAGTCCACACATCTTAAAGTGGCTGAGAAACACTGCTCGAAATCCGTGTTTTAGTGTGTCTTCTGGGGAGGGGCTGAGGGCTGCTATGAAGGAAGGGGGGTCACGTGAAACCTATTTTTAAGACTTCTTAGATTTCTTATCAGCAGTCAGGCTCCAAATCCCAAGAAAGGCAAGTCGAAAAGTTGCCAGACTGAAGGAGACAATCTTGCACCATAAAAACATACGCTGTGGGAACTGTTAGGGAGCAGCTGTCTTCACTCTTCATTCTCATACACCAAACTCTCTGAAATGAGTCTTGAGCTGCCCCTCCCACCTGGGAATCCAGACTACATTCCACTACATCCTCAAAGGGTGGGAAAACACACCCCTGCTGTTCTGCCACTGGTTAAGAGGGGGGCTTTGGGAAATGCGGGAGGGGGGGTCTCCTCAGAAGGTCAAAAAAGTCAAGAGGGAGGCCATAAACACGCAATCAAAATCTGCATGTTGCATGAGGAAAAAGGGGCGGGGCTTCATTGCCTCATAGTGGCAATGCTTTTTTTTTTTTTTGAGCCCCTCCCTGCAAAAATTCCTGGGTGGGTCTTTCCTAGAGGCCCACTTATGTACTCCTGAAATCCAGCTACAGTAAATGTCATATTAATTTTAATAGTTTTTTTTTTTAGCTGTACAATATTCTGAGTGTGAGATAGGCGGTCTCCCAATTAGACATATGACTAAAATTAAGTCAATAAATAAAATGCTCATGCAACAGACCAGAGATGCAATACTCCCACACGCCAGCAGGATTCGCAAACCGAGATTGTGAACGACCTTTTTCTAGAAGGTCAGTCGAAGCCCTCGGGGGCTGCATCCCCACGACATGCTTAAACCGGGTTAGTCTGAATCTCGATCGGTGCATGGTGTGAATCCAGAACACACGGGTTAACTCACTAACCAAGTTAGGCACATCATGCACACTCAGTCGCTGGGCATTAACAGCCAGCAGAGGGCGACTTACCTCGCTTAGAAGAATGGGCATCTTGCCATGAAGTTCCCGCTGAATCCATTCCTGGTTTGGGTCGGACGCAAAAGAGGCAGAAGGAATAAAGAGGTTACTAACCAAGGTTTACAGACAGACCTCGGTTTATAAGCACTGTTGTGACTGGAACTTCCAGCAATCTATTTGTTAAGTCAGCCGTGCCTGATTTTGCAACTGTTTTTGCCCCCGTCATTAAGCGAATCCAGCTTCCCCCACGAACTTGGCTTGTTGGAAGCCAGCTGAGAAGGTGGATGCCACGACCATTCTGGGAATTGAAGTCCATATGTCTTAAAAGTTGCCAGGTTTGAAAAAACAGCGCTCTTAGTCTAATCTGGATTTTTAGCTGTTCTTGATCTTTTATTAAAATGCCCAGGAGTTCCCTTGATATTTATTAATTTATTAATAAATTATGTATTATTAAATTTATTAATTATTTTAAATTAATTTAATTATTAATTATTTTCTCTGAGTGGTGCAGTGGCCTAGAGGTGGAGCTCTCGCCTCACAATCAGGAAGCTGGGAGTTCGATCCCAGGTAGCGGCAGATATTTCTCTCTCTGGGCATAATGAGAATAAAACTTTATTACGGTCATCGACCAGCAACAGACATACAATAAATTAAAAATAATTCTAACATTATTCGTGAATAATAACATCTCTGTGATAAAAAACATGATCTCAAACCTAATTTACATCCGTGTAAGTACATGGGTAAATGTATTGTTATAGATCTCAAAAAATTGGCACCAGTCGATATTATAATTCGGTAACCAATTTTTTTCTTGTGGACACAATGAGTAAATATCAGCTGTGAACTCTGCACTGGCAACAGGAAGGGCATCCGGCCAGTAAACGTTCAGCTCCATTCAGCTGCCCCAATTCCAGCCCGATGAAAGGGATTACGAGGTCATTAAAAGACAAGAAAATAATAATAATTTTCTCTGCATTAATTATTTCAGTTCACAAGGCAAGCCGAGCCCCCCAAACCAGGAAAATAAATCTTGGCTAAATTCCTTGTTTCTCCACCCCACCCACCAGCCTCTAGGAACCTGGCCGGAGGCGAGAGAATGCCAGGAAGGTCTTACCTGTGCAATTGGGCGCTTGGTTCAGGGCAGACGTTCCCGCGATGGGCTTGCCTTCCGGGGTAGAGCACCAACAATACCCGGTCTGTTTATGGCACTGGACCTGGGCAGACGGGAGAGAGAGAATGGGTGAGGGGATGTGCCCAGGAAAATGATGCAGGTGATTCCTCGACTTACGACCATTCGTTTAGTGATCGCTTGAAGTTACAATGGCCATAAAAACATGTGACTTATGACGGTTGCAGCATCCAGCAGCGCTGGCTGGGGGATTCTGGGAGTTGAAGTCCACTCATCTTCAAGCTACCAAGGTTGAGAAACACTGCTTTACAGTCACCTGCTGGTAATCCTCGCCTTACAACAAGTTCATTAAGTGACCGTTCAAAGTTACCACATCTCTGGAACACGTGACTTAGGGCTGTTTATATTCACCCAAGATCTTCAAAGCATGGGGTCCCGTCCAACATTAAAAAAAACCTTATTTCCAATCAGCCACCGTGTTTCCAGTGTCTTCCTCCCCACTTGGAACTGAACCCAGGGGGACATTTCTTCCGACATTGATTAAATGTATTTACTGCCCGTCTTGCTATCGAGAGCGGCTCAAGATGGGGCAGGAGGACGGGAAGTTCGCCCAGTGCCATAAGGAAGACGTAGAGCTTCACCTCCAGGAAGGCGCCGTTCTCACTACATTCGGGCACGTACAGGGCGTGGCTCTGGCGCCGGGATTTGGCGAGGGCAGCCGCTCGGTCTTCTTGGCAACGAGTCAGATTGGCACCTATGGAAGAAATGGGAGGAAGACACAAGTCAAGATCGGACATTGAACCAGGGTTTCTGAACCTTGGGGACTTAACTCCTACCTAGAAACAATTTGCTAATCCATCAATTCACACCGCGGTCCGGTTTCACAGCTATGGCCATCTGGAGCCAGTCCCTTGGGAGTCTGGAGAATTGCGGTCGTAAGTCGAATACCAATAAGCAATTCGTCAATCAATCAATTCACACTACAGCCCCGTTTCACAGCTACGGCCTCCTGGGGCCAATCCTTTGGAGGTCTGGAGAATTGCAGTCATAAATCGAGGAATACCAATAAGCAATTTGCTAGTCAATCAATCAACACTGCAGCCCAATTTCACAGTTACGGCCACCAGGAGCCAATCCTTTGGAGGTCTGGAGAATTGCGGTTGTAAACCAAGGACTATCTATAAGCAATTTGCTAATCCATCAATCCACACCGCAGCCCCGTTTCACAGCTACGTCCACCTGGGAAAAGCCACCCTTCCCCAAAATTCTCTCCCACGTCCGTCCCCCCTTGACACAGGGGCACCTCCCTACCATCTTCTGCCCCCCCCCCCCACACTCCTGATCTCCTTACTGTTGTTATCCCGCTGGGCAGCTCCTCTGCAGCGGAAACGAGGCCACACCTGCAGATTGGGACGTTCACACCTGGCTTCCTGGAAGGCGCAGGGCGACGCGTAAAACTTCCCGTCGGAGGCACACAGGAGGCGGCCGTGTTCGTGGGGGGGGGCACTCGGCCGGGCATGGCAGCCGCTCCTGGTCACCCTCCGAGATGAGGAACTGCAAAACAGGCAGAGGTGCGTGATTAAAACACAGGTCGTCCTCGACTTACGACATCATTCAGCCCAGAATTTCTGTGGCTAAGCGAGACTATTATTGTGGGTCTACCTGGAGCCTGCAACATCCAGGATAGACAGTCCCACAGCCCACCCCCCCGGCAATTAATCATGGTTAAATTTAAGTTTCAAAGTAGGGCTGGCACAGAAAACTGCCAAGCAAAAAAGGGTTTGCTGGCTAAATTCTCCTCGGTTGCGTTTTGAGGCACCTGTTGGATTAATCTTTCAACATGACAGCCGGGGCTGACCGGGGAATTCTGGGAGTTGAAGTCACCCACCCACCCACGTCTTCAAGTGGCCCAAATTTGAGAAACGCAGCTTTATTCTACAAAAGGGGCTTTGAATGTTGCCCTCATCGAGCAGACATGAGGTCACCCATCACCTCGACAGGAGCTGCTGTGTCTTCGAGGGGAGCCAGCCAGGTCTCCGATTCGGACAGCCCTTCCTGGACTGTGTAGACACAAACCTCCCCCCCCCGCCCCCACAGAGTCTCCCACATCTCGTCGGTTGAAGGATGGGATGGGGGGAAGGGTCTTTCAAGAGGATGGTCCTTCTTTCTGAGCCCCCACCCCCCACCAACCTTTAAATCATTCTCAAGGACAATTGGGATTATACAGCAATAAATGATCGGCGTATTCAGACCAGGAAAAAATATAGGTCTCTTTTGGATACGTGGAGGGGTGGGTGGTGGGCCAATCACCAGGAGACAGGGAGTTGTAGTTCTGCCTTAGGCATGAAAGGCATCTGGGTCAGGGGTCTCCAACCTTGGCAACTTTAAGCCTGGAGGACATCAACTCCTAGAATTCCTCAGCCAGCAAAGCTGGCTGAGGAATTCTGGGAGTTGAAGTCCTCCAGGCTTAAAGTTGCCAAGGTTGGAGACCCCTGATCTGGGTGATTTTGGGCCAATCACCAGGAGACAGGAAGTTCTAGTCCTGCCTTAGGCATGAAAGCCAGCTGGGTGACATTGGGCCAGTCCCTCTTTCATCCCACCCCACCTCACAAGGTTGTGGTTGTGTGAAAAATAGGAGAAGGGAAGTGTATTAGGTATGTTTGCGACCTAGAGTCATATATAAACAATAATGAAAGTGGGATAAAAATCCAATCCATCCATCCATCTTTAATCTTAGCAAAACCATTGTCTTCCCTTTTTTCAACCAAGCCGTTATGCAGATGCTGGAGATGCCCTTCTCCACTACCCCACCTCAAAATGCGTAACCAGATCCTCCCCTTCAATACGCGAAGTTCTTTAAGGGACATTCCATTCTTTATGGGGGGGAAAAAATCCATTTGCTTCTTTTTGGGTTTTCCCAAGTAACATTTTCATGGCTAAGGTGAGACTAGAACTCACTGTCTCCTAGTAATTGGCCCAAAGACACCGCGCTGGCTTTCATGTGTAAGGTAGAACTAGAACTCACAGTCTCCTGGTGATTGGCCCAAAGTCACCCACCTGGCTTTCAAGGCTAAAATGGAACTAGAACTCAACATCTCCTGGTGGCTGGCCCAAAATCACCCACCTGGCTTTCATACCTAATGTGGAACTAGAACTCCCTGTCTCCTGGTGAAGTCACCCAGCCGGCTCACCCTAATATAAACTCAGCATTCATCGTGCTTATTGCAGCTTCTCAGGAGTGTCCTTTTTTGGCCTTTTTGTGGTCAAAAGAGTCAAGATAGGACCCCCCCCCCAATGGTGGGATCAAAGCTCCATCTGGTTTTTAGGTGCAACGGATTCATACTGATCCGTATGAGTGATTCTAAGCAATTCGCGGGGAGGTGGGGGTCCCTCATCCTGAAACAGAGACCAAGTTGGCTCACCGTGCATTTTTTCCTTTTTGCCCCGGGACTGAAAGACGACACCGTCTCCCGTTGCCTTATTCTACGTGTCCTTTTCCCTCTGCAAAGTCACTACTTAACGTCGACAAACACAACACACACCTCCGAACAGCCTGGCCGAGATGCCAAATCGCATCTCCCGCTGCCTCCCAACACAAATATTAGTGCATATTGCAAAAAAAATGTGGGTGTTATGGGTGGGGATATTTGTTTATTTTGCAGTAGACAATTTATCTAATAATTCAGCCAGGAAGGGGGGGGGCAGTTGTTTTGGTGGGAGATGCACTTGGAAAAACATTGTGGGTTATAAAACGGTTCCAAATACAACACAGGCCCTTTTGGGGGGGGGGCCTGGATGCTCCTGGGCGCACGTCGGCTGGATGCAAAAAAGGCTGCCGTTCTTTGGGATTTGACATTGATGGACCCTGGCACGGAGCCCACCCAAAAAGAACGGTGGGTCTAACGTCTCATGGCTCCCTCGAAGTCTCCCAGTATGAAAAATAGAGGGGCCATTCGCCAGGGGTGCTTACCGGACAAACCCGGAGGCGTTTTACACATTGAGATGACACCTGAAATAAACCCACGACTATTACAGGTGGTCCTAAGTTTACAACCATCCTTGGTGCTCTCTGAGCTTGGTTGTTTTCTTGGTAGATGTTTCATTACCCAAAGTAGGTAACAAAATCAGTGCGAGAAGGAACTGTGTTTAAGCAGAGAGCAACCCAAGGAGCCTTGGTGGCGCAGCCGACTAAAGCGCTGTTAAGTAGCACTTGGCTGCCTGCAATTACTGTAAGTTCGAATCTCACCAGGCTCAAGGTTGTCTCAGCCTTCCATCCTTCCGAGGTAGGTAAATTGAGGACCCGGATTGTGGGGGCAATAAGCTGACTTTGTATTAAAAAGAACATTGCTTAGAGGGGGCCTGAAAGCCCTACTAAGTAGGTATATACAAAAGTATGAAGGCTATTGCTTAACGCATTGTAAGCCGCCCTGAGTCTCCGGAGAAGGGCGGCATATAAATCGAACCAATAATAATAATAATAATAATAATAATAATAATAATAATAATAATAATAATAATAGTCCCCACTACCTTCTAGAACTGATGGTGCTACCTAGTTTGGTAATGAAATGTCTGTGAGAAAATAACCAAGCTCAGAGAGCACCAAGGACCCCACATATCTCCTCCTCCTCCTCCCTTCTTCTCTTCTACTCCACGACTCCCTCCCTTCTAGCACTGATCATGTTATGTAGTTTGGTACTGAAATGTCTGCAAGAAAATAACCCATCTCAGAGAGCGCCAAGGACCCCACAGTTCTCCTCCTCCTCCTCCTGTCTCTCCTCCCGCTCTTCTCTTCTACTCTACAACCCACTCCTTTCTAGCACTGATGATGTTACCAAGTCTGGTAATGAAATGCCTGCAAGAAAACCACCAAGGGCTCCACAGTTCAACCCTGAGCTACAAAATATTCTCCCCAATTAGTTACAACCATTTACTGAACAACAGTGAAAAAAAAGGGACTTACGACCGGTCCTCACAATTACAACCCCCCACCCCCCTTCCTCACAGTGACGTGATCAAAATTCAGGCGCTTGGCAAAGATTAGCATTGTGCAAGTAGTATATATGTTATTTGTCTTTTACTTTGGTTTTTATGGCGGATGAAATGTCAGGACGGTCACACTGTGTTCCATATACTTATATGTAAATAATAAATATATATCTTTTTTTTAAAAAAATCATGCGCTTGGCAATCACACCCCTGGGTCATGTGACCTTCCCAGCTGGCTTCCGGGAAAGTCAGAGGAAGAAGCCGCTTAAAGACATGGAAATTTTGACACCACGCCCCCCCCCCCCCAATTTTGGGTGTAAATCATGTACTACCTGTAATAGCACCATAAACATTAAAAATAACAAACTGCCTTGCTTGCCTCATTAAGTGGGGCAAGATTTTTTTAAAATATTTATTGCATTTATCTATCTATCTATCCATCCATCCATCCATCCATCCATCCATCCATCCATCCATCCATCTATTCATCCATCCATCCAATTTATTTGCTGCCCATCTTGTAGTTCAGGGGTCTCTGGATTTTTTTTTAAAAAAAACCCAAATCTTAACAAAAATGTCCCCTATGACAGAGGTCTCCAACCTTCCCAACTTTAAGACTTGTGGGCTTCAACTCCCAACTCTGGGAGTCTTAAAGTTGCCAAGGTTGGAGACCCCACAATTTAGGATGGAGTTCAGCGGTGAGGGTGAAGTGGTTTGAGATCTGGATTTGTGGGAAAGACTCTGAACCTCTCTGCCCAACAAACAGGCTGGGATTAGGGGTGCAAATACCCCAGGGGCTCTTGATGCCAAAGGTAGAGTGCCGTGTGTGTGTTTGTGTAAAAAAGCTGCATCTGTTGCACGCCGCTCTCTGCAAAGAGGCAGCTGCCAACTGAGCACTTCAGTCTTGATTGACAAGCCAGTCGTAGGGATAGCCGCCTCCCGGCTGAACAGATTCCCTGTCTCTTTGTGTCTGTGTGTGTGTATGTGGTGAGCAGCCCAAGTGCCTCGCAGCTTACCTTGGCTTCTCGCACGCTACCCCGTAACCGCAGGAGCTGCAGCCAGGAAAATGTGAGGTCTGCATCAACAGAATTTAATAGGCAGGCCTGCCCGTTACAACTCTCCGTTCTGTGTCTTCTGTCAGCATCCGAGATGCTGGGCGATGCTGGGGGGGGATCTTTAGGGGGTCTTTAGGAATTTGGAGAGGGGGAAAGAGTCGAAAGAGCAGGGAGGGAAAGGATAAGGGTGCAGAGAAGTTCTGAAGCAATGTTCCTCAACCTGTCTAAGTCCAGTATGTTTAAGATGGGTGGGCTTCAAGTCCCAGAATTCCCCAGCCCACCATGCTTTAAGATGAGTGGACTTCAAGTCCCAGAATTCCCCAGCCCACCATGCTTTAAGATGGGTGGACACAAGCAATCAATTTTAAACTAAGTTATTCTCTTATTTAACTCATTATTTAATTCATCAATGTAATACAATGTATAGGAAAACATAGAATTCCTTAAATTTTACAAGAAGAAAAAGTGGGTAAGATTGGATGCCCTTCCTCTACCCCATGGGAAGGATGAACCATCTCCCCGCAGCGAGAAAATTCAGCAAAGCAATGAGAAATTATTTCATTGAATAGTCCATGTGTCCTTTTAGGGGTTTTTTGAGAGTGTTTTCCCGACAATCTACAGGTAGACCTCGATTTACGATCACAATTGGGCCCAAAATTCCCGTTAAGGGAGAAATGTGTTCAGTTTTGCCCCACTTTACAACTTTTCTTGCCACAATTATTAAGCGAATCGCTGCCGTCGTTAAGCGAGTAACACGGTTATTAAGTGAATCTGGTTTTCCCCATTGACTTTGCTTGTCAGAAGGTCGCAATAGGGGGTCACGTGACCCTGGGACAGAGAAACAGGTCATAGATATGAGTAGGTCACCAAGCATATGAATTCTGATCCCACGAAGCTGCAAAGGTCGTAACTGTGAAAAACGGTCATAAGTCACATTTTTCAGTGCCGTTGTAACTTGTATGTATGTTGTTGTATGCCGAAGAGTAGCCGTACAAGCCCCTCTCCACTTCCAACACAGGAGTCTTCGAACCCACTAAGAAGTGGATTTATTTAGGAAAGGGTAATGGCTTGTTGGCCGATTATGTGCTTTGCGTGCAAATAAATAAATGTGTGTTTTTTTTAAAAAAAGAAAAACACCACAATCGCTCCCCGAGGAACGGCTTGGGAAATCTCTGCCAGGAATCTACGGAGCTCAGCTCCTCTCCACATCAATCAAGGGGCTTCTAAATGGACCTTTGTTGTCTAAAGTAGCTTTCCACCTTCCTAAAAGCCGCCACTTCATCGGATCAATGTTTTCAAAAAAACCAAAACAACACCCAAATTCAAGAGAAGGTGGACGGCTTCGGATCCAAATTCTCCCCATTTGCATTTGGCAGCCTGTTTTCGAAACCTACCACCGAGACGTGCCTCGTGGGGGGATTCCAGAAAACCCAGCCCGGGGGGTGTATTTAGCTTGTCCGAAGCGTGTCTTCTCCCGCTGAGACATCGGGGACCGAACAGACGTGCCCTGATCGACAGCCAGGATCAACAAACCCGGAGCCCACGCTTGGACAGGTGTGTGTGTTTGCGTGTGCTACTGGCTGCAGACATGCCAAACGCCCGTCAGCCAAGACGATTGAGTTAAGAGGCGACTCCAAGCGACAAGAGATGCTGCATCGGTTGTAAACAATGCTGGCCTTCAATTCTAGAGGGGTTGGGGGGGGCACCAGGTTGGAGACCGAGAATAAGTATTGGGAACTGGGCCTTTTTCTTAGCTGGGAGATGCCAGGAACAGAGGCGGGGGGTGGGGGGTTAATTTCAAAGAAAAAAGTTTGAAGGCTTGGAAGATGCTACTTGCATACTGGGGAAAGTATGCCAGGACAGCCTGATGCTCCCAAATGAACCCCCCACTCAATACTGACCTTATCTACTGCCCGGCCCAAATTTAGTCAGTCTTTACAAGATCTATAAAATCTGAGCGTCCCTTGGGGCTCTCTGAGGCTTGGTTGTTTTCTTGAAGACGTTTCACTACCCAACTAGGTAGCATCATCAGCTATCTAGAAGGGAATGGGATTTGTGGAGAGGAGGAGGCGGAGTGGGAGGAGGAGGAGGAGGACTATTTATTTATTTATTTATTACTCCAATTTATATGGCGCCCTTCTCCGTAGACTCAGGGCGGCTTACAATGCATTATAGCAATAGCCTGCATACTTTTTTTGTATATCCCTGCTTATTAGGGCTTTCGGGGGCCCCTAAGCAGTGTTGTTCTATACAAAGTTGGCTTATTGCCCCCACAATCCGGGTCCTCAATTTACCTACCTCGAAAGGATGGAAGGCTGAGTCAACCTTGAGCCTGGTGAGATTCGAACTTACACTAATTGCAGGCAGCTGGCAGCTAAGTGCTAGCACTTAACAGCACTTTAGTCCGCTGCACCACCGAGGCTCTTGTGGGGTCCTTGATGCTGTCTGAGTTTAGTGGTTTTCCTGGAGACGTTTCACTACCCAACTAAGTAGCATCATCAGCTATCTAGAAGGGAGTGGGGTTTGTGGACTGGGGAGGAGGAGGACAGGAAGGAGGAGGAGGAAGAGGAGGAGAACGACTGTGTCTGCTCTCTAAGATGGGCTATTTTTCTTGCAAACGTTTCACTACCCAACTAGATAGTATCATCAGCTGTCTAGGAGGGAGTGGGATTTGTGGAGAGGAGGAGGAGAGGGGAGGAGGAGCAGGATGACGACAACTGTGGGTCCTTGGTGCTCTTTAAGATGGGTTATTTTTCTTGCAAACCTTTCACTACCCAACTAGGTAGCATCATCAGAGGTACAAGGGAGTGGGGTTTGTGGAGTGGCGAGGAAGAAGAGGAGGAAGAAGAGGAGAACTGTGGGGTCCTTAGTGCTCTCTGAGCTGTTTTCTTGCAGACATTTCATGACCCTACTAGGGAACATCATCAGTACAAGATCTATAATCTTTAAAATCGATGTTCTTTGGGGACACTGCTCCCGTTTGGTCAGGTTTTGAATGCTGCCCCAGATGTCGGCCAATCCAGTTGTGCGGCTCTTCCCCCTTGATTAACTCTCCAGCTGCCATCAACTCTTTCGGGGAGGACAGGGGTTCGAGATCTTTAGCCTGTTGTCTTCCTCTTGTTTAGTGACCAATCAAAGGCACTCAAAAAAGTCACTTAGGACCATTTCTCACACTTACGACCATTGCAGCATCCGTCACATGATTAAAATTCACAAGCTCGGCAACTGACTTATGTTTATGACGGTTGAGGTGTCGTGGGATCACGTGATCCTCTTTTTGCGACCTTCTGACATGCAAAATCAATGGGGGAAGCCGGATTCACTTAACAACCATGTGACTAACGTAACAGCCGCAGTGATTCCCTTAACAACGGTGGCAAGATGGAGCAAAACTCACTTAACTGATGTCTCACTCAGCCACCTAAATTATTTTTTTGGGGGGGGTGGGGAAGGAGGGGAATTGTGGCCGTAAATCGAGGACTACCCCCTGGGATGAAATCCAAGGTGCAAAAACCACGTTCTGCAAACCGTTTGGCGAACCAGGTAGCTCTGCTCTCACGCCCTCCCTTGCTGCTTCGGCATCTGGGGCTTCGGAGTGGCCAAGCGTTTGTGGTTTCGGTGGCACAGTGCGCTGCCGTGCCAGAGCACACACGGCTCTTTCAGCTGTCAGCTGGCAGGATTTGTTAGCGCCTCCAGCAAACATGCGAGGGGAACTTTGCAGAAACGCTCTTCCCTTTGCCAGATTCAAAGCTGCATTGTAGGGAAGCTGCCCTCCCTGCTCTGCCCCCCCCCCCCACCTCCCCAGATGACAAGCACCCTTGAGCTGCTGAGTGGCTTATGAAGGGGGCCTTATTTGAAAGGGGGGGAGGTAAGGAGGGGGGACTAAGAATGGAGGAGGAGGAGGAGGAGGACGATGATGGGGTCCTTGAAGCTCTCTGAGCTTGGTGATTTTCCTGCAGACGTTTCACTACCCAGATGAGTAACATCATCAGCTATCTAGAAGGGGTTTGTGGACTGAGGAGGAGGAGGAGGAGGAGGCTGGAGCCTTCAGCATGCTAGGAACCTACTCTGCTCTGCCCCCAGTCTCAAAGTCACCAAAGTTGGAGACCCCCTGATCTCAACATTTAGTGGACCATATTCAAAGAAGTTAGAATGACAGCTAAACAAAAAGTAGAATATGTTCCTGACTTGGAATGATTACCTATTTTGGAGACAGATTTATTTATTTATTTATTGGTTCGATTTATATGCCGCCCTTCTCCGGAGACTCAGGGCGGCTTACAATGCGTTAAGCAATAGCCTTCATATTTTTTGTATATACCTGCTTAGTAGGGCTTTCGCCCCCCCCCAAGCGGTGTTCTTTTTTATACAAAGTCAGCTTATTGCCCCCACAAACCGGGTCCTCATTACTATAAATGAAACCAAAAGCAGCTTCCTAAATTGAGGAAATTGAAAACTAGCTCAAAACTCAATTCCGAAATTGAGAACTAGCTCAAAACTGGACATTTTGACATTCCTTGACTAGCAGGCAAAGGTTTGGTCACTCGTTCTTGAGGAATAAATAATGGATAAAATCCAAGTACAGATAGTTCTCGGCTTACAACAGTTCATTTAGTGACTATTCATTAGAAGTATCTTGTGGCACTGAAAAAATGTGACTTGTGGCCATTTTTCACACTTCTGACCGTTGCAGCATCCCCATGGCCACATGATCAAAATTGAAACTCTGGGCAACTGACTTGTATTTATGACAACAACCGTGTGACTAAGGTTAACGACTGCAGCGATTCGCTTAACAATTCTGGTAAGAAAGATTATAAAATGTCACTTAGCAACTTAGCAACAGAAATGTTGGGCTCAACTGTGGTCGTAAATCGAGGACTGCCTGTATTGGCATCCCTTGTTCCACGCTGTTGTCTTTCTACTCTTATTTCTCCTTGCCTTACACAATGTCACAACTATCTTTTTCACATAAAAATGTATATTTTAAAAACTTCTGATTTAGTTCAATCAGATTCAGATCCTGATCTGTTGCTCCTGAGATGCAGAAAAATCAGATCAGGATGGAGAGAGTTTCATGTCCTTTCTGGTTTTTCTTTGAAGAGGTTTCGCTTCTCATCCGGGAAGCTTCTTTAACTTTGACTGAAGGGTGGGGAATGGAATTCTTCAGTCAGAGCGGAAGAAGCTTCTCGGATGAGAAGCGAAACCTCTTCAAAGAAAAACCCAGAAAGTCCACTTGCCTCTTGGAAAAAAAGCATCTTTGGGACAACCTGGATGATGGAGAATCTCCATAGACAGAGAGTGTCATGCATCACCCTTGTCTAGCAAATGGGGACATTCTTCTGTTTGGTCTACATCTAGGAGAAGATCTCGTGGTTGCCCAGTTGCGTTTCTAGCTGGTGAACTTTGTTAGGGGCCCACAGAAGAGATGACCTCACTCCGAACAGACTCGGCCTCCCAAGAGCAGGTTAAAATTAGCTCCCGCAAGTGACACGTTGGGAACTAAATATGGATTTCAATCCTTCCCAATTTGGCAATGCGCTTTGTGTCTCGGGATCTGTGGAAGCCTGGCCTATCGCTGGATAGAAAGGAGCACCCAGCTCAAGCCCATCGTTCTTGGGAAAGGGACTACAGAGCCATCTTGCAGTTGAGGGCAAAGAACAGCCCCGAGAAATCCAGAATAAAATCTAATTATTTCCAGAATCATACAAGTAGCCCAAACATTGAGAGTAATCAGTCGAAAACAGACAAATTCATCACTGGGATTTTTTTTTTTTTCAGATAAGATTTAGGATTTGAGAAAAAAATAAAAGCATAAAAGAAACCCTTTTCAAATCTACCGTGTTCTCCTTTAGCTTCTTCCAGCATTAAAGATCTGAAAGTTAGGGAGAAAATTAAAAAGGAAAAAAGAAATAGATCTCTAAAAGACAGAGAGGAGGAAGTGTTTCGTCCATGTTGCACTTAACAAATAGGCAATGCTTGATTGGACTTTGGTGGTGGACATCTTGACTTTTTTGACCACATCTGGCAGACACTCTTGGTTGGTCACTATTTTGTCCTTGATTCTTGACTTCCAGTGGTTCTGACCACTCCATTCTCATATACAACAGAGAAGACAGTGGGGTTTCTCTGGGCCATTTATATACAGGTAGTCCTGGATTTATGACCACAACAGAGCCCTCAAATTTTGGTTGCTAAACAAAAACAGCTGTTGAAGGAGTTTTGCCCCATTTTATGACCTTTTTTGCCATAGTTGTTAAGTGAATCACTGCAGTTGTTAAGTTGCTAACATGATTGTTAAGCAAATCTGGCTTCCCAAATGACTTTGCTTGTCAGGAGGTCACAAAAGGGGATCACATGACCTCAGGACACTGCGACCGTCATAAATATGAGTCAGTTACTAAGCATCTGAATTTTGATCACATGACAATGGGGATGCCTCAAGGGTCGTAAGTGTGAAAATGGTCATAAATCACTTTTTTCCAG